ATATATATATACATATATGGGTGTGTGTTTGCATGTGTATCATATTATAGATTATGTTATTTAACTTTTGGATTTTATTTAATAATTTTTAGATTTATTTATGTATTTTTCCACAGATGAACGAACATGTTTTCTCTTTCGCTTCTCATGAAGATTTTTTATTTTATTTTTTTTGCATAAGAAAATAGTAAATGAAAGAAAAGACAGGACAAATATGAACAATAAATCTTGTTAGCTTATTTTTACAGATATCCACAAACTGACTTTCCAATTTTAAAAATGCCACATAGAAAAATTAAAAAAATACAGTCAAAATGTTCTGAAAGAGGTTTTACCAACTTGTGCAACTTAGAAAGGCAGAAACCAGTGACAGTTTTCCTGTAATTAGTATTAGATTTAAGGCAGAATATAAATCACATGATGTTATAAAAGGTCCTTTTCTGTAAAGAAAACATAAAAAAGCACAAATAATCTTGAAAAGGGCATTTGCTATATAACCACCTATCTTTTTCTAACCATGTAAAACATACGTCACAGTTATAAGCCAACCTTTGACGGAGGAGAACTGCTGTAATCGTCCTCCAGCAATTCCTCCAGAAGGGCATCAATGTCCTCAGAGATGCTGCTTTTTGGTTCTTCACATGTTGCAGCACTAAGTCAGAAAAACAACAGCTCACTCAATACAGTATTCTTTATTACCTGTGTCATTCATTAAGTGTTTTTTCCCCAAACTAAAAAGCTTCAAAAACATATGAGCGAATAGAAAATCCTAATTAGAGATCTTGCTGGCTTCAGTGCTTTTGATCTTTCATGACATCCAAGTTATTAAGGAATGAAGGGAGAAACAGGGCCGTCCATAGCTTCCATGGGGCCCTAAGCAACATTGATTGTCAGGCCCTCTTTTAAAGCCAATGAGATCTATTGCTGCAATCAACAGTCTGATGATCAGATCACTCACTCATCCACTATAAACTTATTGTAGCTTTGGTGGGGCTGTTTACAGTCTCTGAATGCAGTATCCTGTGATACGAAAAGTAAGAATTAGTATGCTGCTTGTATGCTTTTGAAGATTCTCAGTCATCGAGGTCATACACATTCCGTAAAAGTTTAA